CCACCTGCGTGGTGGTGAGTATCTGTCCCACCTGCGTGGTGGTGAGTGTACAATTCACCTGCGGGGTGATGCATACATATATATATATATATCTTGTCTGCACACACGCACAAATGCACACAGACATATATATATATATCTCTCTCTCGTCCGCCGCGCACTGCCGCCAGGTACGCCAATGGCCCGGAAGGACAAAGACCTCCTCTCGCAGGAAGAAGAGGAAGAAGAAGCGGAGCGAGAAGGAGACTCCTCAGCAGAGTCTGAGAAGTCTTCATCGCCGGACAAGCCTTTGCTGCGGGCAAGGGCCGAAGAGGACCGCAAAGACAAGGAGCGCCAAGAGAAGGAGCACCGCCCGCAGAAAGAGAAGGTCAAGAAAGAGAAGAGCCGCGAGGGCAAGGAGAGGGGACGCGACAGGGAGCGCACTGAGCATCGTCACCGCCACAAGACGCGCGACAAGTCTCGGACAGATCCGCGCACATCTGGGGGACCTGCTCAGAGCGAGAAGGCCAAGCGCCGACCACAGTCACCAGACAAACCTCCTCCTGGCAGGGCTGTGTCGGTGGCCTCGTCGCTAGGAGGCAAGGCGCAAGCCGGGCGACAGCGCTGCGGTGTATGCAACCAATGGGTCACTAGCAATGCTAGCGGCTTGAGCCAACACCAGCGCTCCAACGTCTACTGCCTCAGTGTGGCTCAGTGGTCTCGGCTGAGGCCGGAGGAACGGCTCCGCACAGGGGCTTGGGATTGGTGCCAGAGCCAAGCGCAGCTGGCCAAGGACAACTGGGACGCGGGTGTGGAGGCAACTGGACCACTGCAGCTGGCCCAGCTGGCCAAGCCAGCCACACCTGCGCGATCTCAGGGGGACAAGGTGGTGTTCAAGCCGAGCGCTGAACACAAGTGGCCTGACGCGACGCCAATGCCAAACGCTTGGCCTGGCAAGAAAAAGAAGAAGCAGCAGAAAAAGTCATCGACTTCTTCCAGCTCTCCACCACCGGCGAAAAAGGAGAAGAAGCGCGGAGGACGTCCGCCCAGCAGCAGCTCCTCACCCTCACCTGCGAAGAAGAAGAAGAAAGAGAGGAGGCACGGCGGCCGACCCATCCGTATCACCATTGGCTGATGCGGACGGGCAAAGACCGCGGCACGGAGACGCGCGCGTGAAAAAGGATTGAGCAAGCTGTGCGAGCCGAGCGGTGTACGCAGCAGCATACAAATATAAATGTGGAGAGGTATATGTAGGAGCGAAACGGATAATATATTTTCGGAGATATAATACACTACAGAAAAGGAGGACTTTCAGAGGACCCGACGTCGGTCGATGTCGGTCGATGTCGGACCCCGTTTTCGATGTTGTATTTCTACGCATGTCGGACCATGTCGGCCCCTACATAAGTAAGTAAGGCCCGCGTCTAGACTTCGTCGAACGCGCAACGTAGGCCGATGTCGGTCGATGTCGGTCGATGTCGGACCCCATACATAGGAAATATTTAAAAAGCAAGGATTTTGTAGCGTGCTCTGGCTCGAACGCGTCTCCGCTTAGCTCCAGACAGAAGCGTGCTGGACGTCTTGATGGCAGCCATGGTCGAGGACAATCCGGCGCAGGAAGGGCCGAGCTCTCGGGTGTGTAAGCTGTGCAGGCGCGACCTGCCCACGGACACACCCGGGAGAGTGAAAGGCAAGACCTTTCAGTGCCGGACGTGCTTGACCTTGCAGAGCATGCTGTATCGGAACGTTGGCGCCGGGACGCTGGAGAAATGGACGCAAGACCAGAAGCAAGCTTTCTTCCGAAAGGCTTCTGAGACCGCGCCGGATGGACGGTATGCCTGGGAGACAGTCAAGACGGTTGTCATTCATACGGAAGTGAAATCCCGTATCAACTCCACTGAGAACCGCGTGACTGCAGAGGCACTACCCCTCTCGGTCTGGGTGGCCAGGGGCTACAGCCGTGAATCTGTGGAGGCATTTCCCGCAGAAGTCTGTCCGAAGCTCGGACAGCTGTACGCAGTCCCAGTGCGCGCAGATGTGTGGAAGGAGATTCGCAGCAAGGTCGAAGAAGAAGTCCTTCTCCGTGAAAAGGCCGTGACCAAGAAACCGGGCAAGTCGGGAAAGCGGAAGAAGGCAGACGACGAGCAGGTCGAAGCGGAGGAGGACGACTGGGATGTGGCAAAGCCGATGACCTCCGCGGGGGCAGCAAAGGCGGGACAGCAGAGGGCAAAGGCTGCGAAGTCCGCGAAGGGGACGGAAGCGTCCGAGGCCAAGCGACTGGAGAAGCAGGAGAAGAAGACGGACAAAGAAAATGAGCGCAAGTTGGCCACGGCTGTGAAGGCACTCGCCGCACTCACCCCGCAGGCCAAGGCTTTGGCGACTGTGAAGAGGCAGGCAGAGGGTGTGAACTTGGACGTGCAGGTGTTGATGGACGCGGCTAAGGACACAGAGGAGAAGAAGGCGGCTGCGCACGCCATTGTATCGGCTGGCAACCACATCTCTGCTCATGTGCCCTTGCCCCCATTGCCGTTCTCATCTACGGACCTGAAGAACCACGTCCAGGCCACGAAGTCGTTGCTAACCGAGATGCGCAAGAACGTGAAAGCGGCAAAGGCTGCCGCTGACGAAGCCGCCGAGACCCAAGCGGACACATAGACGCATGCCTTGCTGTCTCCTTTTTTGTGCGATAGAGTGCTGCGTTTGCGCGGCTGAACCATGCCACGGGGAACTGGTATGTGAGCAGATGAAAATCAGAGGCGAGAGGACGCTCGCGCGTGGGTGGAAGAGATATGTGACAAATTGTATTGTTTGTTGTGTCTTTGCTTGTCTGTATGTCTGCTTGTGCAGCCATTTCATTTTGCGGGCTCAGTTGTTTAGATTTCATGGCCATGGAGTGTCGACTACCGCACGCCCCACTGTCTGAGCGCAAGCGCAAAGCACCGGGCATGGTGCGCGAAATACATGGCGTGCTCGTGGCCAATAAGCGTGTGCATCTCTATGGTCCGCGCTTTGCGGACCTGGGAGTGCACCACAACATCCGCACTCTCTTGGCAGACATGGCTCCGGTCCAGGTAGCATCGTCCTCTGATGAGGAGACGATCGGCGTGGACGCCAAAACTGCAACCGACACCGCCCCACGGTCTCTGGCTCAGGAGACTGTGGACGTGTTGGAACCGCTGGAAACAGATCTGCAACGCCGACTGGCTTGCGATGGCCAGATGGCCAGCAGCATCATCCACATGTGGCAAGCCCTGCGGGTGGCGCAGACCATGCTCGTCCCTGCGAGGGCCTGCCTCCGGCGCGCAGCACAATCCAACGCGGAGGGGGTGGAGGACTTTACATTCGACTCGTCGGATGTAGCCCGCGTGCACGACAAGGTGCTTAATTTGTTTAGTACTCTGCATCGTCTGTGATGACGGTAGCGCGGTCTGCAACGGACTCGTGCGCGCTGAAAAGAAGCTCTTGCAAATGTTTCTTATAGTATATCTGTATAACCACGCAGTCAATAGTTATAAATGATCCTCTGAATATATCCCGACTTCGCCGTTAACATATGTATATATATAGAGACTCTCTTGAAAAGATCCCGACTTCGCCGCTCAGACCCCTTGCGGCTCGACGCATGGCCGCGCAGCCATGCCGGGACGGAAGAGGAAAGATCCAGACACCACGGATGCGTTCTGGGACGCCCTGCGCGGGACTCATTCCAGTGTACGCGACGCGGTGCGCATCTGGAACTCTGCCGTAGCGCAGGGAAGTGAAATCAGTCGATGGCAAGGGTCGACAGCGGTGCGTGACCGCAAAGCTCGATTCCAAGCCTGCTTTGACCTACACTGGCTCCCTAGTGCGAAAGCAGGTGAGCCCGCAGAACCCTTGTATGTGGCAAACTTGGAGCGTCTGCTGCAGGCACTTGTCTCAACGTACCCAGCTTGGGCTTCAGCTGTCTGGGAGGCGGCGGGCGCTCAGAGCGGCCGCGCGCAGGCCATTCTATACAACGATGAAGTCACGGGAGGCAATATATTGGCTCCTGTGAAAAAGAAAAACCTCTCTGTGTCTATTGCACATTCAGAGAAATGCACCGAACCGTGTCATGCCCGGAGGCGTGGTTTGTGCTGGGCTGTGTTCAGCGTACGCAGGTGGACCGCATTGAAGGTGGGACGTCTGGCATCATGCGATGCGCGGTCAACGCTTTGCACGCGGACAGACACGAGGCGGGCTTCACTATCCACTGTGGCGCACACGGCGACACCCAGCTGCGCCTGCACAGCAAGTCCTTCTTCGTGGCGGACCATGACGCCCAGCGTGCGACGTATGGCATCAAGGGCAGCGCTGGCTTGCTCCCGTGCGGTGCATGCAGCAACGTCCTCAGTCGCCAGGCCACGAGCATACCTCCAGGCTTCTGCACTATTGCCGAACCCGATTTGGCAACTTTCCACCCGAGAACGGACGCCGCGTATGCTGCGGCGGTGCACTCCTTGCAGGAACCCTTGACGAAAGTTGCACTGAAGGAGAGAGAAAAAGCAACTGGCGTCCGCCTGCTACCGGGAGGATTGCTGTTTTGCCCTCGAGCACGCGCCCGTCTACCCTTTAGTTCTTCTTGCACCGATGTCATGCACGACTACTTTGCCAACGGCATCTGTAGCAGCGAGATTGGTCTTATACTGGAAGAGTTGGAAGTCCGCGGCGTGAGTCTAGCAGACCTCCAGCAAGTCTGCGACGTATCGTCCTGGCACGCACAGGGCCAAGGTCGTACCCTGCGACCTGGATATTTGCGTGGACTGTTGCACGAAAAGATGCACGAAGCTGGGACGGGGTTCAAGGGCGACGCCAGCGACTGCATGTTGCTGTTGCATGTTCTGCACTACTATGTGGATAGATTATTGATACAGCAGGGCTTCGCGGGGGAGAAAACGAAGTCATACCGAGCCTTAGTCGAAGTAGACCGGGAGATTCACCGCTTGAGGAGTCGAGTTGATTTGATTTCTTCCGCTTTGGACGTGCTTCCATTGGCCCGGAAACAAGAGGCGCACCACCGCGCATTTGTGGAGGCATATGGTGCGGAGAAGGTCCGCCCGAAGCACCATCATCGGCTGCATCTACCAGCGGATATCTTGAAGCTAGGCTTCGTGCCTGATTGCTCTGCCATGGAGAAGAAGCACCAGGCGCTCAAGTCGGGCGGCATCTTGGACAAACACAGAGCATGGGTTAACGTCGGAAAAGTGTGGCAGGAGCAAACGCTGGGCGCGTTGTGTCTCGTGGGCGACGCGGACGCAACTTCATGGAACTGCAAGTTACTGCAGGAGGTTCGCCCTGCGTCGTCAGAGTCGCAGCGGCTCTTTCGCGATCAGTCGCTGGAACGTTCCCTATCTGCCCGCAGCGCGTTGGGTACTTTGTTTGTGGGAGACCACGTCATCTGGCGCTGGGAAGGAGACGGTGGAGGCATGATCCGAGACTTGGTGCAATCCAAACAGACAACCCTCCGCGTGAGGGTGACTCGCACGCAGATCGTGTCCCGAGAACCGTGGGGCTCCGTCTGGGATCTGACATCCAGGGACACGTGGCACCGCATAGACGAGGCGGCGCAGTGGACGACCGCGCGTTGGTGGAGAAGTGACGGCGCAAGGATCACCAGCACCCACTGAGCACTGCTGCGCGTGAAAAAGTACGACTGCGTACCGCGCGTGCCGAGTGCGGACGTCTAATTTTCAGAAAATATTAACTACTTGGCACCTACTTATAACTTACTTATAACTTACTTATAATACTTATAAATTGTTTGTAACTAACTTATATGTAGAATTTATAACTTCCTCACATGTAGTGTAACTTAGATATATCTTCGATAACTCATTTCCAGCCTAGCAGTACTAGGAGCAAGAACGCTACTAGGGGCATGGTCTCAAAGAGCTGATTGATATTTTTCCAGTTTGCCAACGGCTCCTCCAGACACCGATCTTAGGAATTGGCGCAAGGTGCTGGGATCGTTCAGTGCCGTGGTGTGGTGCTGTGCGTCAACGACCGTGTTGGGTTACCGAGACCACTGGATGTGCCTGGGAAAGAGAGCTTCCAGGGTGTGGTAGCTGATGGCACATCAGATTCACTGGCAGGTGAGGTGTCGGTAACAGGGTGGGGGTTGGCATTGTGAGAAGGACGAGTTTGGACATTGCATGTTTCATCAGGGAAATCAAGAAGCACACCATTCTCAAATGGGATGAAAGAAACCACTATGTGGAAGCATGACAGGAGGGGAAGAAGATCCCCAAAAAACAACCATTCACTGCCTTTGGGTGTATGAACTGCCAGGCGTAGATTGGTGTGGCAAGCGAGTCGTCATTGCTGGAATGGGCGCATTTGCTGTGGAGAATGTGTCCAAGACTTGGGAAACGCGTCGACACAACTTGTGCAACGGCTTGTGAAAACCACAACCACTGTTTGCACACTGTTTGCCCAGTCCACTGTTTGCTTCTCCGCAACCCTACCAGCCCGAACACTGGGGGCTCCTAATTAAGCTTCGCCTTGCGAAAATAGGTTAAGGGCTTCAAAGGCCACATCTGTGGCAGAGCTTGCTGAAGGCCTGGTTTCCCTCAAGTTTGAAGACTTTGCCCGTTTTACGGCCACGCTAGCTCTTCACTACATCAGTGGTGGCTACACCCGTTCTACTAGGCTGTGTTCCTGAAGCTATCGGTTTTGCAGTCCCGCCGTTTGTCAGCCAAATAATACCCGCCATCCAAACAACACAGCTTTGAAAAACTCAGAACTCATGCCTGTCACTGTTTGCCACCTCAATCTACATGTCAGTTGCAGTCGGTGGTGCGACAAGTCACTTCACCTAATTTGTTTTCTCCAGGGGCAAAGCTTCAATGGCTTCACACTGAGGCGTACGGCCTTAGAAAGAGGCGCAGCAGAGGTCGTCGTGGTGGCCCGTCGTCATGGCACCATTTGTCCCAAGGCGAAGTGGCAAAACTGACGAAACCGTGGTAGGTCTACTAGTAACAATGTTCGCCACTAGGGCACTAGGGGCTCCTGGCCGTACTACTAGGAGCAAGAAGCTACTAGTAACAAAACTCGTTGCTGGGGGGGTCCCTCAACAAGAACTTGCAGAACTGCGTGGTGAAGTTCTTCGGGCGACAAGTTTAGCACGACGGAAAATGTAAGCACACGACGGTACACTCGTATACGCATCCATTGTGTTTGCACCGATATAGCACCAGTTCGCCGCCAAACAGAGCACAAAGGTGTGTTGGGCATCCACTCTCCCCAGTGTCTCAATGATTTTTTGCGACATGCTTATGCAAACCAAACCGTTGTTTGGCACCAACCTGGACCCGCCACACCAAACAAATTGTTCACGTACCGCCCCTCCGTCGACCAGCGCGTGCAGACCACTAAAGCACTGACCTGCTCTCCCACCAAGTGTTCAGCGAAGCACTAACTAAGACACGGCGCAAAAACGCAAAAAGAAACCGGCCCGAGTTAGTGTCATTATCAACATTAAATAAACATATATTACAGAAATAAGAAAAAACCTCAACTTAGAATTCACCGCCAAAACCAAACAAAACAAAGGCTAAATTCAAATCAATCAACAACATACCCGAGACAAATAATGTTAAAGCACATTGTGTGTTCTTTGCTCTGATTTGTTTGAGATTTCCTTCGGTTGATTCGTGTTATGTTGGCTTCCAGCCGCCGGTAGCGGTTCCCCTTTACTCCTTGACGCACATGGTGGAAAGAAGTGCCCTTCAGCGAGTTCGTTAGCTTCGTCGTGGGATTGTCAGTTGGTAACCGGAGCTCTGGAGCACATGCCGAGCCCAGGGACAAGCAGCGAGGAGATGGAAGATCGCGAGGAAGGCATCGAGCAGGAGAAGAGGGGAACTACACCGGCAGCTGGAGGCGAAAGGCGGCAGTGGAGTGAAGCTGAGTGGGAAGAGTGGAATAGGAGGTGGTACTGGGGCTCGAGCTGGGGCTACGGCTCGAGGTGGTACGCCTCGGGGGAGAAAGAGCAGGGCACCGAGACGGCTGGGGCAGCCGCTTCGACCTTGCCCACGTCGGGGAACGACCACTCGGACCCATGGCAGCAAGCAGGACGTGATCCCTGGTCCCGAAGAACCTCAACCTCAGGAGCACCAATGATGGAACATGGTCACTCGTCAGGATGGTGGCCTAGCGGACACTACCCGAAGGCGGACTACAGTGATCCGCCTGCCTGGTCGGGATGGCCCAACTACAGGTTGTGGCGCAGAGCCTTGGTCAGGTGGAACTCAAATACCGACGTCGTCGTGTGGCGACGAGCGGAGAAGGTGCTCAAGACGCTCGACTGGTCTTTGCAGGCCAAGTTGGACCACGTGTCAGAGACCACCTTGGCGAGTCCCTCCTACCTCACGGAGATCCTCAATGTGTTGGATGTGCTAGCAGGTGAAAACGAGGACTCGGAACGAAGGAGGGCAGTGCGAGCAGCTCTCTTTGAAGGCCACAGGAAGTCAGAAGAGACCCTCGCGCAGTATGCCCTTAGGAGGGAGTCTCAGTTCGAAGTAGCCAGCAGGTACATGACCATACCGGAGGAGATCAAGGGCATTCTTCTGGAAGAACAGTCAGGTCTCTCCAAGCAGAGTATGCAGAGTCTGAGGGTTCTCACTCGCGGCCTCCATTCCTACTCGGAGGTTAAGAAGGTGTTGAAGGTGCTGGACCTTGACGAGGAAAGCATCATCAAGAACGGCAAGGTGAGCTACTTTGACGACGCTCCTGAGTATGAGGAGAGGGACTCCGAAGTGGACGACGACACCATCTTCTCGGCCTTCGAGCTCGCAGACCTTGGTGAGGACGCGGCCATGTCGTTGATGGCAGATCTTCAACAGGACCGGCGTCGGACCTGGAAGGAGAATAAGCTTCTCAAGGCAGCCAGGCGAAAAGATCGGAGACACTTTGAGGACAAGACATCACGAGCTACAAGCGTCGACTGTCCGTGGATGAGCTCAAGAAGGTGACCTTTTGCGGCAACTGTGGCAAGAAGGGTCACTGGCGAGAAGATTGCACTGAGCCTGCTCGAGAGGGCGGCAGGCGTGACAGGGATAAGGGACAAAAGATGAATGCCTTCGCCTACCTGGGCTTGTCTGAGGGCGCTGGAGACTCCATTGCTTTTTTGGCTCAGAATTTTGTCAACTACCAGTTCACTGAGCATGCCTCCTTTCCTGAGCTGGACCCGGGGCAAGCGATTGTTGACCCTGGGGCGTCTCAAGATCTCATCGGCTTGCACAGCTACAACAAGCCTCAGCAGAAGCTGGCTGAGGTTGGTTTCAAGACGATCAAGCTCAAGGAGGCTCCCGCCAAGGCATCCGGTGTCGGAGGGGCAGCCAAGACTCTTTTTATGGCCCTGGCCCCATGCGTTCTTGGGGGTCAACCCGGCGTGATCAAGCTGACCGTCGTGGATGGAGATGTGCCACAACTCCTGTCCATTGGCCTTTTGGAGTACGGACAGGCCATCATTGACACCGGAGCCGACAAGATAGACTTCAAGAAGTTCAACACGAGTGCCAAGATGACTAGACTGCCTTCTGGTCATCGAACCTTGGACGTGATTGAGTGGGGTGGTAGCAAGTTTCCGATTCCCTCGTCGCTGGCCGAAACATTTGGCCTGAAAGAGGGTGATTTCAACCTTCCGTCCTCCGACCGCAGAGCATATATGGCTGCTCGTCCGCTCTCCATGGAGTTGTCGTGTTTCTTCAGTCAGGTAGGACTAGATGAGAAGGTTCTGCATAGGTCCGAGGTGACGTGTGATCAGGTGCTAGGCAATTTCGTTTCATTGAAGGACTTCGCAGAGGTTTCTCACGAGTTGATTTTTCGCACGTCATGGTTGGCACTTGACTGTGAAGCATGTCTGATTGAGCGAAACGCGCAACGCAATAAGAACTGTTTTGACATGAGCACTAAACGTGAAACGTGTGATGGTTGGTTTGCGAGTGAACTGTTAGAGATTACGGATTTTCCTCTGAATTTTTGTCATCAGCATTGGTCTCGAACTAGGATCATCTCATTGTTTTCTGAGCAAGAAGCTGATGTCAACATGAGGAATTTGGAAACGGCTGTTTTGAGCGTTGGCCCTTGCCTCGCCGCCTCAAGTGAGACAGAACGATCACTCCGTGATTTCAGTCTTCGAGCCCAATACGCTGACACTGATCTCACTCATGGCGGCTCTTGGGGTTCTCAACGCTCGAGTCAAGAAGTCCAGAATCAGATCAGAAGCGGATCGAGAGAATCTGGAGAACCACTGGTATCACTTTGCCCGGAAGCTCCTGATCTTGAACCAGGCCCTGGGGCTCAAGCAGTATCCTGGGGACTACACCACGTCGAGGCCTGGTCCAAGCGAGGGGCCAATTCCCAGCTCCCGCCAGCTGGTGGACAAGTGCAAGCATCCGAAGGAGTTCGAGACAAGGGGGGCCAATCAACACGGCACGTGGACTCGCTGCTCCCTTTGTCAGACCAAGACGGGATACCAGAAATATGGCAAGGACAATCCTCCTCCCGCGGCGCGGAAGACCAAGGGTGTGGACATCGAGACCTACGTCTCCTCGAGCGCGGCCGCCGCTCCGAGAACGCCCATGGTCTCCAGCGGAACGACGGCTCCGGCACCCATCACGCCGGACCTGGAGAGTGCCTTTCAAGGTCAGAACCAGCAGCTGTTGCAGAACACGGCAGCTCTCATGTCGCAGGTCATGCTGCCTGTTGTGGAGGGATTTCATCAGGCCCTGAGGTTCCAGACCGAGGAAGCTCAACGTGCCCAGGAGAGACAGGATACGCAGCTCCAGCAGCTATTTCTGAACCAGCAGCGCATCATGCAGCAGACGGATCCAACTCGCCAGCCGGGCGCTGCGTTTCCGGCGCTGCCTCCGGAAGAGCTTCATCGGCTGCTGGCTCAAGGATTTGCGATGGCCCAGCAGCATCCTTTGCCGGACGAGGAGGACTGGGATCAGATCTCCGAGCACCAGCCGGGCAGGCTGGGCTGATCTCGAGACGAGTTTCACTGAGCCTCCAACCCCGGACCGCGCGAATTGTATAGAATCCAGTCCAGATGTTTGGTTGGTAGTGCCGAAGAACCCTGCATCCATGAGATTCCTAGGCCAACGGGAAAATAGGGTCTGTTTTGTCGGTAAGCTGCATTTCGAGGGTGCTGATCGGGAAGTCTTTGTTTTTCGTGACGCGGAATTATTTGACGATCTCGTTTGCAGCGATTTTCCCGAAGGACCGGAATCGCACCTTTCCAAGAAGCAAAAGGGAGCACTGGTGAATTCAGTCGAGTCACTCTCCACCATGTTGCATGATGGGTCAAAGTGCCCAAGTTTTGGAACGAGCTCATTGGAGCAAGATCAACTAGTGAATGAGCCTGAAGGCCTTCAAGAAACCAGAAAGGAGCCCAATGGGCCGATCAAGAAAGAACAAGAGCCAAAGAGCCAACAAGAGAAGATCGATGAACCTGTTTCGCGCCGCTCGTTTCGATCGCTCGACTCTAGCTCTCCGGAGCTTAGTGCCCTCGGTCTCAGCGAGCTGCGCCCGTGTAGCCATGATGACTTCGTGGCCAATCTGGCCAAAGAGAAGCCCAAGATCATCGAGATCTTTTTGGCCCCGCGGGTGACTCCCGTGGCTGCGCGTCAAGGCCTCAAGACGACAGAACCGGCCAATCTGGATCTGAAGTCTGGATGGAACGCCTTGGACTATGGAGATCGACAGAAGATGTGGCGCATTCTGGAGGAACAGGCTCCAGATGTGGTGATCTTGAGCCCCGAGTGCAAGATGTTCAGTCAGCTGATGAACATCAATCTTCGACGCATCCCCATCGAGAAACTCACCAAGGAACAGATGGAAGCCCTGGTCATGTGGCAGCTATGTCTTCAAGTAGCTGATTTTCAACTTCAGAAGGGCCGCTTCTTTATCATTGAGCAGCCCGCTGGTGCTTCCTCGTGGCGCACCCATGGCTTTGAGTGGCTGCTGAAACAAAAAGGCGTGCTTCATTTCTTGTTTGATCAGTGCGAACTCGGCTTGAGCGTGGACAAGAAAGGAGGTCTCTCTCGAAAGTCCACAGGTCTGGCGACCAATCACCTGGGTGTCGCCTTCCTGTTGTCTCAGTTTCAATGCCGACAACAGCACTCTCACGTGCACTTAGAAAGCGGCTTGCCTAGAAAAGCTCAGGTGTATCCGAAAGACATGGTTGAGATCATAGTGAAGGGTTTGGAAACTGGTTCTAGCAGTTTCTCCGGGGCAGTGCACGAAGGTCATGCCATCATGGACGAGGAAGAGGTCGAGATAGGTGGTGAAGACATGGTGCAGCCTCGGGCTCCAGGCACCATTCAACGAGACCTCTCCATCGATTTGACCGAGGAACAGAAGAGAAAAGTGGAGCTCATGCATAACAACATGGGTCACATTTCCAGAGAACAGATGCTCTCCATGCTCAAAGCTGCCGGCGCCAAGGAAGGCGTACTCAAATATGTGAAGGACAAATTTCACTGTCCGTCGTGCGTGAGACAAAGGAAGCCAGTAGAGAGAAGACATGCCGCAATTCCCCGCACTTTTCAGTTTAACAGAATAATTGGCTTGGACTTCTTCTTTTTATCCTTTGACAATCGCACCTATGCCTTTTTGAACGCAGTGTGTCACGGCACGAACTTTCAGCAAGTTGGCCTTTTGAAGAACTATGACGGTGGTGTTCCATCATCTCAAGAGACCTGGAGGTTGTTTCATCGCATCTGGATTCAGCCGTTCGGGATCCCAGAAACAATTCTGTGCGATGGTGGCTCAGAATTCAAGCAAGCATTTGAGCGCTCAGCAGAGCAATTTGGGTTGATGCAGATAATCACAGATGCAGCCTCACCGTGGCAGAACGGCCGTGTCGAAAGACACGGAGGTTGGGTGAAGGATAGAGCTGAGATGGAGATCAACTCAGGACAGACCGTTCTTGTTGAAGTATCAGATCTTGAGGGTCACGGCCATGGTCGCTTGCAAGAACAGATGGTACTCACGAGGAGGCTACAGCCCATGTCAACTTGTCTTCGGGGTGAACCCCCGCGTGCCCACAGAGCTTTTGTCGGACGACACCTTGCAGGAGCTTGGATGGCAGGAGTTAGAAGCAGATGCCTTTGATCAAGACACAGCCGCAGCCGCCTTCAACAGATCTCATCAGATTAGGCAGAAGGCTCGTCAACTGTGTATTCAGCACCTCAGCAAGGAAAAGATCCGCCTGAGCACTAGTCAGAGACTCCACAAACAGAGACAGTGGGCCATTGGGCAGTGGGTCTATGTCTGGCGCAAGTTTCCAGGCACCGGACAGGGTCATTTGACTCGTGCGAGATGGACTGGCCCCGGCATAGTGGTTCTTCAAGCAGGTCATACTGTCTGGGTGTCTATGCGGGCCAGGCTTTGGAAGTGCAACTCCGATCAGCTGAGGCCGGCATCGCACCATGAATCAGTAGGGGCCGACATGGCCAGATCAGGTGAGTTGCAAGAACTCATCAGACAAGGCAGATCTTCCAAAGCCGGTGCTGTTGATGTCACCGCTGAGGGCACCCGCCAGATGAGATGAGTTCGATGGTTCCACCGGTGGAGGTCGACGCTCCCATCGCGCAGTCTCCTCTAGGACCCCAGGATCATCAGAGATCAAGAACCTCTAAGAGATCAAGAACGTCCTGGCCAAGAACCTCTAAGAGAAATTGTTGTGCCCAAGCCGATTGTCTCAATAGAAGGGGGGTCGGCACTAGACGACAGTTCTTTGAGTGACATCTCCATGTCATCCAAGAGAAGATCTGACCAGGAATCAACCACGTCGAGAAGAATGAAGAAGAAGATCATTGAGAACACTCCTGAGGCAGAGATTCCACGTCAAAGTTTGAAGAGGACTGTGTCAGATCCAGAACAAGAGAGGCTTGAAAAGATAGCCTTGAGAACCTTGAAGAGATTGGAGAGAGAAGACAAAGTTAGGAGATTGAATGAGGAGAGGATAGCAGGACAGTCCTCGTCGTCCGCCTCCATTGATCCAGATTCAAGCACAGACCGACAACCACCTCGTGTCATAGCAGAGATTGACGTGGAGGAGCAAGAGAACCAAACGGAGGGTCCCTTCGACTCTCTCAGGGAGGAGCTGTTGGGCGTGATGTCACAAGAAGGGCTTGCTTTTTCCGAGTTCAAGGTCGAAGGCGAGTGCCTCATGGTGAAGCCTTTCAAAGGAAAGAGCCAAGAATTCAACATGAAGGAGGCGACTCCTGAAGAGGTTCAAGGTTTCAAGAATGCGGATCAGGCAGAGTGGAAGACAATTCTGGACCTCAAGGCAGTCAAGGTGCTTTCCTTGCAGGAGTCGCGAGATGTCAGACAACACCAACCTCATCGCATTCTTCAGTCTCGATTCGTGCGCCGGAAGAAACCCATGCCGGGTCTTGGAAAGTGGAAATTTAAGTCCCGTTGGTGAGTGCTCGGTCATAGCGATCCAGACAGTGGCTCCTATTCCACATACTCACCCATGCCCATGACAGAGAGCATTTCCATTTTCTTTCAGTTGTGCGCGAACATGAACATGACCGTGACCTTTTGTGATGTGACTCAAGCCTTTTGTCAGTCAGAACCTTTGGACCGGCCTCAAGGCAAGCTCTACGTGGAAGCTTGCGATGGACTATGCCTGCCCAAAGGCACATTGGTTCAGCTGGTGGCACCAGTGTATGGTCTTGAAGACGCCCCCCTTCGGTGGCATCATACAGTTGTTCACTACCTGCGGGATCTTGGCTTTGAAAGAAGCCTACTGGAACCTTGTTGGTATGTGAGAAGAGACGAGAAAGGCGAGGTAGAAGCCATGATTCTAGTGGAAGTAGACGACTTGAATGTGGCTGCAAAACCAGAGGTCAGAGATCATCTTCTGGAAGACCTCAGTGCTCGTTTTCGTTTCGGCAAGATGGAATACGATGAAGCCGATTTTGCCGGCCGTCATGTGAAGGTTCTCCCAGGACGAATTGAGATGAATCAGGAGAAATACATAGTGGAGAAACTACATCCAGTTCGAATTGAGCAAGGTCGTAAGGGAGATAGAGCAGCCGCCTTGAATCATGATGAGTTCGAGTCCTTCAGGAGCATGTTGTACAGAGTGGCCTGGGTCGCGCACCAAACCAGGCCTGAAGCAGCAGGGGTCGTCAGCATTCTGTCTTCTCGGCTGAAGGAAGCGACAGTTCACGACGTGTGTTGCATCAACAAGTTGATCGGTCATCTTCGGAATACGGCACAGCAGTCACTCACGCTTCACTCATTCAGGAACGAAGACATGATTCTGATCTCGGCTTCAGATGCCGGTGGCGTGGATGGAATGCCCTCACCCGGTTCTTCAGAGATAGACACTGTGCAAGGGGCTTGACTGATCATGGCATCAGACAGACTTCCTAGTGCCTCACAGAAAACCAAGGTAAGCATCTTGAGTTGGCGCTCATGCAAACTGAGACGCAAGGTGGCCTCAACCCTAGCTGGCGAAGCATTGGCCTTTAACCAATCATTGGGAGAAGTCGAGTGGATTCAAATCATGATCAGAGACATCGTGAAGGGAGACATATCAAGACGTGACTGGACCGAATCCCTTCAACCGCACTTTCCCATGCTTCGAGAAGGCTGCGAGCTAGCTTCCCGGCTTCAGCAGTGTCACATTACGGACGCCAAAAGTTTGTTTGACGCCCTCGTGAAGGAATCACCCATGTCACGACAAGATCGCAGAACATCAGTTGAGCTGAGCATCATTTTGGAGTCGCTGAACAAAGCCAAGAGTGTCGTTCGCTGGACCCCACATCCTCGGATGATAGCAAATGGTTTGACGAAAGCTGACATTTCCAAATCTAATGGTGCCTTAGAAGAGCTCTGGAGAACATCCAAGCTCGCTCTGTGGGATGAGCTGGAAGAGTTGAAGCAGAGGAAGGTCAATCCCTCTGTTCGCGGTCGCTCAAAGAGTGCCTCCGCCAAGATGCGGTCTTGTGAAGCCAACGAAAGCTTTCTTCTTTTTCGAAGTCGAATCAACTCTAATTTGGGGGTGCTGTTTGAGATTTCCTTCGGTTGATTCGTGTTATGTTGGCTTCCAGCCGCCGGTAGCGGTTCCCCTTTACTCCTTGACGCACATGGTGGAAAGAAGTGCTCTTCATCGAGTTCGTTAGCTTCGTCGTGGGATTGTCAGATTCTTTTGATTCCGGTTTTCAGGGTGAGTTGTTTGCTCTAATGATTGTTGCTTCCCCTCTAGATGGGTTGTTTCTTTCAAGTATTTGGTTTTCGTTCAGTTCTTTGAAGACCGTTTCTTGGTTGTGGCGAATTCACAACACCGTATATTTGTGGATGTTGATCGGTTGGACTGGCAGGTGATCGTCACCTCCTAAGCATCTTTGATACTACGCACCTGTTACTACTAGCGATGCACTTGTGTCTAATAGCTTTTTGTTACTAGGGTTGGAGCATCTCACTTCAAGGGGAAACTTGTTGGTGTCACCATTGGTTCGCTGAGAAGCTACTTGATGCACAAACCTCAGTAAATCGTCAGCATTGGAATCGACTGCATTCGGGCGGACTGTGTTGCCTCAAACTTGCCAGGGCAATTTCACCGATGCTTCGAGTGAATATGTTATCTACGATCAATCAGTCATCAACTATGCCCCCTTTCAATTGGTCATGAACTAAGGGGCCCCGTATGAAAACAAACTCAAGTCGCTCTGCGAAAAGCCAGGCCATTGACTACTTGAACTTTGTGAAACCATGGGATGAGAAGTATAAGCATGACACGCAGACCAATGTGAAACAGTTCTTGCGGTGGAAGCAGCTCTACGAAGCATCTGGCTGTCAAGTGCCTGAATGTTGGCCCAAGCAGGCAGGTTTGCGAAGCTCTCCTTGCCCGTGGAACCGACTGAAATCAGCAGGGATGTGCATTAAGGCATCAAGCAGGATTGCGGCCAATGTCAGGGTTCTCTACAGGGGAACCATGCCCCTCAGTTTATACAAACCGACCTTATTGTCAACCATGATCAAAGGTTATTTATCACGGTTACTGTATCGACCATGAGCTATTCGCCATTTGCGCCGGTCAACACGCGTAGCAAACCCCTATGTTTTCTAGACAAAGATGAAGATAATCTAGTTGCTTTTTTCATCGCTACTAGGTTGGAGGCCATCGCTATTAGGGAGGAGGCCATTGGTATTAGGGAGGAGGCCATCACTAGAAGGATTGCTTTGCTTATTTCTGATATGTGTTTGCTCGCATGGAGGTGAAACATGACGGCCACACCATTTCAGTGAGCGACATTTGGTTCATTGCCCATCACATGAAGAAGCTGACCACCAAGACAGGTATCACGGTATCACATTGGCAACAAATGCAGCTGAATATGTCAAGATGGAATGTGCCCCCCAACCCGAGAGTATGTTATTTTGCGGGTATGCACAAAAACAAAACAAAGGCAGTTCGAAGTAACGGAGGATCGACGCATTGAGGTACGATCGATCGCATTGAGAAAGAGGGCGTGGTGTTGTCGAATGGAGACTTCATGGCATGTGACGTGGTGGTGGGCTGTATTGGCTTCGAACGATCCAACACACTGTGCGAATGGCTCACAGGGCGCAAGGAGGTGAAGACCACAAACTATTTGGATCAGCACATGATGTACTTGGCCGATGCAGAGATCGATGAAGGCCCTGGCGTTCGTATTCAAATGTATTCAGTAGTAAGGTGTTGGTGTTGGTGTTGGTGTTGTTGATGATTCTTCGGTTTTTTTAAAGGCTTCGAGTGGTTTGCTTCCGTTGCTTCGATCATTTGTGACGAAGATGACACTTGACCAGTGGCCATGTAACGGCCATGCTGGTTTTAATGAGATTTTCCAATGTGGCGAGGGTTGACCCTGGCATGTCCACCCAAAAACAAGTTATTTGTTCACCAAGACTAAGCCATGGGACCATAGCTCACTCGGGAAATCCACCTAGTAGCGATGGCCTACTGTGTCCTTGCCATTCTTTCTGAACGCCATCCCTACTATAGGTTGGAGGCCATCACTCTTAGGTTGGAAGCCACCGCTCTTAGGGTGGAGGCCAACGCTGGTAGGTTGGAGGCCATTTCTCTTACTTGGCCATCGCTAGTAGGTGAAAAGTCATTGCTATTGGGTTGGAGGCCATTACTAGTAGGTTGGAGACCATCGCTCTTAGGATAGAGGCCATCGCTATTATAGGTTGGCCATCGCTAGTTTTGGTTGGAGGCCATCGCTCTTTGGGTTGGAAGCCATTGCTAGTAGGCTAAAAGGTTTTCGTGCCATCGCTAGGTGCTTTCAACTCTTTCTTCGGCTCTTCGGTCTTGGAGTATGGCAAGTTCTTCACCAATGTCTTTGTGGAGGGCCTCAAGCGGCCAGACGTGTTGGCTCAGCAGCTTTGGGGAGAGCACACAACATCGGTGCCTATTTCACAGAGGCGACTTGGGCGATGCGGGATCGCCGATGTGACACTGCTTGCCGATCTTTGCGAATCCTCAAAGCCATCCGACTTCGATCTGGAATACCGGCTTAGAACCGACTTGTAAAGTTGACGAAACTAGGTAAGCTGAAGAACCAACGTGTCGAGAATGTCACTCTCTCATAACTGTAAGTGACGGAAAACTATTTGAACCCAAGTCGAAAAACTGTGCGAGATGATTCGGAGCATGTCAACATTGTCGGCCCACGCCTTCAAAACATTTCAACTAACATCGGCAAGATTTTCCTAAAGCCGAGAAAAACCTCGAGATGGCGTGCTAAGTTTTCAAGGCAACACACTATGCCGCACAGTAGCATGTAGTAGCATTTGTTCAAAAAATGCCATGTAGTCCCTTTTGACTTAATAACGATGGCCTCCAACCTAATGCCTGTTTATTGATGTAATGTAACATCATTTAGTGTTTTCTCGTACTGTTTGCCAGGAAGTGGAATCAATACATTGCTTCTGCCATGAAACTCATTGACGCAGATGATCAGATTGCTCAACATGCTCAACAACAGGTGTGGAGCGAGCGGAGCGAAATGGGAAAGAAATGGAAAGACCATCTTATGTTCGAGTCCATCGCTAGTAGGTTGGAGGCCATCGGTAATAGGTGAGGCCATCGCTAGTAGGGTTGAGGCGGGATTGGATGGATTTTGGAGTCAGAAAAGGGTTGACTCCAGATTTAAGCCTTTGGAAGTGCTTATCCTAGAAGGGTATTGTCTAGTGATTGGACATCGAGATTGAAGCTCTTTGGCGGGGCTTCAAATGTCCACCAGTCTCAAATCAGCAATCTCCACCTGTGTTTGGATTTAATCTGTCGACAATGCGTCTTGGCGGGGCTTCCGGCAAACTTCCAGCTTTTCTCTGGTTGGACGGCTCACGCTTCACAATCTCCGTGTTTGGCGCCAAGGGACACGTTGCCTCATGGTTGTTCAGGTGAACTACATACAATTGCCCCCACACAGTGGATCAAGGGCGGCGGTTCAAAGCGCCTTTCATTTTCATGCTCTTGATCAGAAAGCACTACTATGGGCCAGGTGTAGGGACGTGCCATATTTCTTCCCTGAGAAGCTGCTTGGTAACAGCTGAAATCTAAAAGTGAGCTGCCAAGTGCACCTACCACAGTCATATTACCTCCAGAGTTCATTCCCTAGAGCAGCAAACGTAACATAGCCAAATCATTGCTGTCACAGCACCAGTGGACCCACCCTGAAGTCAAGCCCTGAAGCATGGAAGCTGACAAGCAAAACAGACAAAATCCAAATCACAACTCTTCCAAGACACTGGCAAAGGAAAGGAAGGGTTGACTCTAGATTCTATCCACGTAAAGGTGGCAGGCACCACTAGGTAAAATTGGATGGAATCTGGAGTTAAGCCGTTTGAACTCCAGATTCCATCCAATTTCGGGTTGAGGCCATCGCTGTAGGTTGGACCAGAGCCGCCTTTGAAGAAGTCGTAAACCGCGGACGGAGCGAGACGGCCCTGCTGAGCCCTTCGTGTCGACGGTCAGAGGAATCGTAAACGACACCATCATCATATACCATCAGAGAAATCGGAAGAAAAGTCTGCATTTTGATTGGATGACGTGAATTCCATGAAGCATACACCACAAATCAAGAAATGATCATCTCCATCAAACACTCCCATGTTCAAATTCAATTTGTTTCAATGGCTGAGGTTCATTGGTGTACATGCGTGGAAACTAAGAAAGATACAGAAAACCCAAAAAAGACTAATTACAACTGTAAAGAAGCTATTGGTAACAAGTGCATCGCTACTAGTAACAAGGGCCTTACTAGTAGTAACAAGAAGACTTTTTTCTAGCTGAAAACAGTTCGTTTTCGCTCAGGTCGACATGCGCACGAAGCATTTCTACCGCACAATGCCTCCCGAGAGTTTTGTGGCCGTGAACCGCCGGGAATGGGAGGAGTTGCATCAACGACTTAACGGAGAGCCTGTGCCGAAGGACGGACAGAACCGTTCGCTAGTAACAAGTGCCTCGCTAGTAGAAACAGGTGCCTTACTAGTAGTAACAATGTTTGCTATTAGAAGCAAACATTAAAATGATAATTGAAGTCTTTTGTTACTACTAGTAAGGCACTGGTTCCTAGTAGCGACGCACTTGTTACTAGAAGCGATGCACTTGTTCCTAGTAGCGATGCCCTTTGCTCCTAGTAGCTTCTTGCTACTACATGTGTTCTGAATAAATAGACTAAACAGCACCAAGACGGGATCTTTGAGATGCCGTGTGGACATCGTTCATGAACCAGAAAGCAAGCCCACCCAAGTCAACCATCATTCAGCTTAGTAACCACATAGATTACCACTGACTGAACATATTCCTCATTGCTTTGTCAGGAGCAGCAACTGCCCTATCTCTTCGATGAGATCCCTGCTTGGTGTTGAGCGTGACTTGCACACGTTCGCTCACAATTTCCTAGTTGTTCGCTCGGTGTTCGCTCGGCAAATCCTGCACAGATCCGATGGGGTCATGTCCATGTCCGTGGGACATACCGGTTACATGATGGGTGCAAGGACACCTTCCATGGCTGTGGCTTTTCACGGGTAGACGGCCCTGATGCATGAACATGCATTCGGATCACCATGCATCATTTTGCATGAAGTTTTGCATGAGTGATCGGAATGTGATGAATTTGTGAAGTTTTGGAGTTGCAGAACGCACAGATTCTGGAACTGATCTTCTGCGTCTTAATCTCGGTTTCCGACGCAGTCGTTGGACCATCTTCATCCTGACGTACAGATTTGATCTGGCTAGATGGTCTGAGAGAGCAGTTGCTATATTCTGCTGTTGAAAAAGTTGTTGGACAAGCTGCACGGCAACGGTTCCGGCCACACACCCATTGACACAGAGATTCCCAACCTGCATAGAAGGATGATAACGAATATTACAGAGACCACATCAAAAAAATGTTCCTATATATATATATACAGTATCATGTCTATAGATGTTCAATATACTGTATACTATTGTAGATATATAAATGTGTATCTTTTATATATGTATTTAATGGAAATAGAAAAATATATTAGAGTTGAAACCAACTGGTCTAAATCCTTTAGGTTGATCGTGCTCTACCAAAAGGTTCTCTAAGCAGTTCTTAGCCACAAATTGCCACTTCAAACATCCTCCTGCTAAGGTGGTTAAAGGTCAAACACAAAAAGGGCACAGACCTCCACTTAGCTCCAACCCCAAGCACTCTAAAAACGAAAATTCCCTAAAGAAGCAAGCACTAGGTGAGCCATACGCTGTACCCGTGCGCTGTACGCCACTTTTCACACCATTGCAAAAGGTGATCGGCTGCATGCAAGGCCCGTGTGAAACAGGTGAAACTTTGGACAATCCTAGCATGGTATTTGTACCTCTTTGTACAAAATTGGAAATGTCGGACATCAACAAAGGGAACTAAGGTTCCCCCTGGGCATCCTCTATTGCCACTCTCTACCACCTGCCTGTTGGGAACGAGGACCTTAGGCTTTTATTCCTATTGGCTCACAGCATTGCGAATGGCGAGAAGAGGTTATTCAGTGCTTGCGCATCTTATTTGCCGTACTCCGCTGTGGGTAAGCTTGTCCCCCATTCCAGCCACAAAGAATTGCCGGCTCTGGCAGGTCTGAGCAGTTTTCTTCTCTGTGATCACTGGCATCTGTCGACAGCTCTTAGCATTGCCTGGACTAGATAGATTGTCCAGTTTGTTTAGGGACTGGTCTTTTGCGATGGGCAGTTTATTTTCTTTTGCTTGCCCCTAGCTCCAAAGTGCGGGTATATCGCCATGATACTCATGAGTGGAACCTCCAATGGAAGGGTACAAATTGCGATGTTTCTTAGCTCCCCTATGGAATTTGTCCTGGTGTGACTTTTGGCCTGCCTTGGACTCACGCTAAGGCGCGTGTTCCGAGCAACTGCGAGACCGCGCTTGCTGCAAGCGCTGTACCAGTGCAAAAGGTGATCGGCTGCGTGCAAGGCCCGTGTGAAACAGGTGAAATTTTGGACAATCCTAATATGGTATCTGTGCCTTTTTGTACAAAATTGGAAATGTCGGACATCAACAAAGGGAACTAAGGTTTCCCCTGGGCATCCTCCATTGCCACTCTCTACCACCTGCCTGTTGGGAACGAGGACCTCAGGCTCTTATTCCTATTGGCTCACAGCGTTGCGAATGGCGAGAAGAGGTCGGTGATCCTACTTAGTGCTTGCGCATCTTACTTGCCGTACTCCGCTGTCGGTTTGCTTGTC